TGGTGAGCTACCGAGCGGGTTGGTGAGCTACAGAGCGGGTTGGTGAGCTACAGAGTGGGTTGGTGAGCTACAGAGCGGGTTGGTGAGCTACAGAGCGGGTTGGTGAGCTACAGAGCGGGTTGGCAATAGAGATACGAGTGGATTGTGGTCAGCTCTATACGGTACCAGAGCTAGGTCGCTGTCCTTTCCCCGGTTGACGTGCTCGTGGCCGAGTACGATTGGCAGCCAGGCGTCGTACGTGATGTGCTGAATTTCTGCCACGACGATGCGGCGCGCCTCCTGATACAGCGTTTCGTCATCCCAGTACTTGTTCACCTACACACACACGCGTATATATATATATATATATATATATATAAATACATCGGGAGCATGAGTTTAACCCACCACACCCACCACACCCCACTACACTACACCCAGTACACCCAGCACGCCACACCCCACCCCACTACTCCCACCATACCACAGCTCACCCACCCACGCGTCGTATCTCCTTCTACTATTTCTCATTATCCCAGTCATTGTCCACGTGCAGTAGAGAGTTAGTAGCAAGAAACTTATAGCAGTAGGGAAACAATTGGCTGCAGAGCCTTATTAAACGCTATTTAAACGTTCGTTATGTTACCTATTCGGTTTTACAGTGGGACACACTTGTTTCTGCTTGTAGTCGTTACTTTAATATGGGCAGGTAGTATACAGTTATGAGTGGACTACCCATTTGACGAGTATTTATCATAGCTACGGCTGGTTGCCTTCGTTACAAGTAGTTACCATAGCTAGCTACCGCTGGTTGGCTAAATTACGATTAGTTACCATAGCTACGGCTTGCTGCCTAGGCTACGAATAGTCACTATAGCTTTGAAGGTTCAACTAGGTTACAAATAGTTACTATGACTACGGCTGGTTGTCTAGGCTACGAATAGTTACCATGACTACGGCTAGTTGCCTTGGCTGCGAGTAATTACTCACCTTGGCTAACTTTTCGGCGATGCGGTTGTGTTCCCGCAGCAGTATGGTGTGCATCGACGTCAGACCGACCTGTTCATTACTCCTAGCATCACCTACAACCCACCAACATCACTGTAGCATTCATTACTCCTAGCATCACCTACAACCCACCAACATCACTGTCACATTC